TTTAACCTCTGTTTCGGTTTGACTTTTGACCCCTGTTTCGGTTTGACTTTTAACCGCTGTTTCGGTTTGACTTTTGACCCCTGTTTCGGTTTGACCTGAGGACTTTGACCAAAAGCGAGGGGACCCTAGCCTGCGTCGGTGCGGATCTGAACGGAGTTTATTACACAACTTACAACCTGTCCCGATAGGACCGGTATCATGTTTCCACATACGACTCCGGCGAGTCTCTCCCAGTGTCTCCAACCACTCTGGCCAGACCTTTCTCTACGCTTTGATCCGCAAGTGACTCCCTGTGCTACTGAAACAGGTCGGCCATCGGCTCTCACTCGGTAAGCGTCAGCGGAATCGCACTGTATTCTTGGGTCAATCTTATTTGTCAAGATGGGCTTAGATGGCGGAAAGAAAAAAAAATGAAAAAAAAACACAACAGCCATAACAAGCACTGCTGGCTCCCAGTGCAACCTCATAAAAAGCTACAATGCAAAAAAAGACCTGAAGAAATTGAAACACCAAGTGGTTAGTTACCGAGGCGGCCCCTCGTGAACCAACAACTGCTGTGCAAAGCCAAAACTGATTAACTCACAAATCAACAATCCATCAGAAAAAGAATGAATTTCATTGAATTGCATAATTTTTCTTTACATGGGTGCCCACCTCAACTGTTAAAAAAAATAATAATAATAAAAAAATGAATTGCATAAACATGCACCCACATACACACCTTTGAGTTCCTTCCGCCATCGCATTAACGAGTCTAACCTCACATCTGGAACAAAAAACAAACACAAAAGCAAAAGGAAAAAAAAATACAACAGTTCAGCAAGGAGGAAAGGCCCGCAACACGTTCCGTTGCCTAAAAAAAAAAAAAAAAAGTTCAATTCAGCGCCCGCGTCACCTTGTTTCCGGGCGGCCCGGCCGTGCAAGGACCAGGGAAGGTCCGGCAAACAGAGAAAAACCAACAAAAATAAAAAATATACCAACAATTTGGCAACAAAAATAAAAAATATACCAACAAAAATAAAAAATATACCAACAAAAATAAACAATATATGCAAAAAAAACTATGTTATGCAGAAAAATAAAACTGGACAACTTTTGCCTCAGGGTCACAGCAAACTCTTTACCAGATTTGAAATTTTCAAAACGGGAAAATTGGTGAAATACCCCTAAGACTTTGGGTATTTCGTTAGATACCCCTAAAACACAGGGGTACGCTAAAACGCCCCAAACATCTGCATCTGGCCCCATCCCGCTCATAGGCAACTTTGCCATACGCCCTGGTCCTGGGCTGCAGGGGCCCGTGCATCTCTTCTAAAAATTCTGCAGGGTCCAACGGCCAGAAATACTGGGGCATACAGACAACTTGCCCAGGGCCCGGTAGGGGTATATGGAAAAGATGACAGGTCCAATTGGCCAGTGCGGTATTTTTCAAGGTTTCACATCTGTCAAAAGGTGCATTTCGCCATACCCATGCCTTTCAACTTTCAGGGGTATTTGACAAAATACCCCAACTTTCAGGGGCATTTCAACAAGTTTTCAGAGTGCTGAAAATGGACTTGTACTGTTGTACACGAAAAATGTGCTTCCATTTGGTTAAAAACCCTCCAATCCATTTATGATTTATATAACTTTGACATTTTCCCAAAAAAGACATATATATATCGTCACAAATAGAATATATATATAGTCAAACAGAGCTGCCCGGTAAACCGTAGGCAGAGAGGGAGAAGAGGACAACAAACAAGGGGCTGCGACAAACTGTTTCGTCGGAGTTTCACCGACTCATCAGGAGGCTGAACCATATATTGATGATATATACATATATATATATATTGTCAAATAGAACTGCCCGGTAAACCGTAGGCAGAGAGGGAGAAGAGGACAACAAACGAGGGGCTGTGACAAACTGTTTCGTCGGAGTTTCACCGACTCATCAGGAGGCTGAATATATATATATATATAGAAACTCTGACGAAACAGTTTTGTCACAGCCCCTCATTTGTTGTCCTCTTCTCCTTCTCTGCCTCTGGTTTACCGGGCAGCTCTGTTTGACAATATACATTTTTCTTTTTGGTTCGGTCGTGCAAGTGGTCCTGGGGCACTCTGGTAGCCTAGGTATTCTGGCCATCGATTAAATCCTGGAAGAACCAAAAACGGAAGAGGAAAAGAAAAACTCCCTGAGTGCACTTCGCAGCTGCACCTGTGTGTGAGGATGCTTCAGAAAGGAACTGCAGTGCACACTGGATATTGCCTGCAACTACTCAACGAAGACAACAGTCTATTCAAGTATGCCTCCACATGGCCAAACATCACTCCTCCCTGATCTCCAACACTCATCTTCCACATAGCCTTGATAAACGCTTGGTGCAAGAGCATTGTGATGCTCACAAGTTCATTGCGGATCGCCGCAGCACTTGCCAAAAGCTTGCAGTTTGAATGTATCTGGACCTGGCATGGTCCTGCCAGGTCCAGATACATTCGAGATGTTGGTGTTCGCCCCTATCGCAGCACTTGACAGAAGGACGTCATCGTACTTGTCATGGCACTTAAGAACATCATGACACACGACACAAGGAAAATGCTTGACTTGTGGGCTCATCACGATGCATGGCGCAGATCTGCCATCAGCATGCAAAACGAAAAGGGCGGTCAGGGCGCGGTCTGTTGGGTACAGGCCAAATCTGATATTGTCGGACATTCGCAAACCTGTTTTCGTCGCTTGTCGTGCAGGTCTCACGGGTGTTGGAGAGTGATGAGGGGGTGAAGAAAGGTGAGTGGTAGAGAAAGGGAAGGGGTTGATGGGTGTGTAAGTGAAGAGGGGGGCGACAGTGTGATGAAGGGTGAGTGATGAAGGGGTGATGAGGGGATGATGAGGGAGTGATGAGGGGGTGATGCTCGCCAGGAGGCTGGCGTAGGTGATGGTAGTCTTCGGGAGGAGGCGCACAATGTGGGGGATAAGAAGGTGATGAGAGAGAGGGAGAGGAGAGACACATACCTGGTGTATGTGCCAGTCTGCATGGGCGACATCGTCACGTGCATCGGTCTTCAGCTGGAAGTGACTCCATGTTGGATGTGGTAGTGGTAGGCTTGATGGGTTCTGAGTAGAGATAGGCTGCGCGCTGAGCGCCAATGAGAAGGGCGACATTGGATCCTTTGTCGGTGGTGGCGAGAAGAGGCTGACATTGACATTTGAGTTCATTGTATTGCTTTTATTTGGCTTGTATCTCAGTGCATTGTGCTTTCTGCTTCGGACACGACCATCTGGCTTTCAACGTGAGATTGCAATTTGGTTTTCCGTCTATCACTCTCACTGATTTTCCTTGTAAAACAATGAGCTTACATTAAAACTGTCAAAAAGAAAGCAAAGGGAAAAAAAAAAACTGTACACAGTTTTTCAACAGTCAACTTAAGTGTTACACTGAGCTCAGCTCTGAGGAGACGTAGCATCATCAAGCACTACTGGACACAGAGATGTTGGGTGTAGAAAGGAGTACCCAGTACCCCATAACACAACACCCAGTCATTACAAGCTGTATTTAGTGCAACTTTCAGGCAAGATTCAGATAAAAGGACCGGTTACTTGGTTCAGGGGAAGAAGGTAGTTGAGAATGCAACTCGTTCCCAGCAATTTGAATAAGTTCTGCGATGCGCCTGCCATTGATCAGCAGATCCTTTTTTTTTATAAAAAAAAAAAAAAACAGAACCTTACGGTTCTGGCTCCTTTCCATTCTGGGGAGCATCAGTCCGGTTCCTTTTTTTTTTTTTTTTTTTTAATTTGGACCATTTCTCGATTTATGCGTGTCATCCTTGCGCAGGGGCCATGCTAATCTTCTCTGTATCGTTCCAATTTTAACGGATGTCCCGAACGACGCATCAGTCCGGTTCCTATTCCTCCAGCAAGTCCAAAAAAAAAAACATCAGTTACACAACTTACACACCAACGCTCCTCCTCCCCATTATGGTTGAGACGCCCAAGTCGATTGATCAGCAGATTTTAATCACGTTCAAACTTGAAGCAATGTCAATCAATGCTCGATAATCGAACCATCAAACCAATGAGCAACCGAAACAGCAGATGACAATGAGCATCAGCAGTAACTAAGGAGTACCTGCTACCATCAGGAAAGAGGCGGATAAAGGCATCCCGCCATTTCCAATTATTTGAAGTTATTCGGACAAGCCATTTTCTACCAAAACAGGCAGCTTTCATCAACCACCAATACACGAAGCTGATGGTGCACATACCTGTATCAATGTACAAGTGTGGGGCGCTCCATTTGGATTGCACCAGCCTGGTTGCAATGACCTGTTTGTACAAGAACAACCAGTCACATCGTAAGGGACAACGGATTGCACAGCAAAAAGTCACTACGACTAGACGCGCCTTTGCTGCCGAGATGCTTTTTCAAACACCTCGCAAAACGCCAACTTGCAAAACGCACAACACGACAAACTTGCACTAGAAACTTTTCGACAGAGCTCTGGAGGAAGTTGCGGTCAGATGCATCCAGGTCAAGCTATAATCGCAATCAAATACAGCCAGGGAAGTCCTATTGTCCTCACCCGAATAGAACGCCCGGTCATCATAGCTGTATTTGGCACTGCTGTGTTTCCTATATTTATTTCCAACTCTGAGGCGAGCCTCCAGAGGCTCGGTAGAGGCCTTTGTCGGCTCTCGCAAGAGTCGAGCCTCTTGGATAAGGTAAGGTATTGTTTTCGAAATTTAGACATGTTCTGAACAATGCCGTAGTTTAAACTATAATACTATATCCTCCACAAAGAACTAAGTAAAAATCGTCACACTTAACAGCCATCTGCTCTAACGACTGAGCTACAAGAGACCTCACTATTGTCGTATTTTTTTTATAGTCTTTTGATAGCAACGGAACCAATCGTCCTTATCATTGTTTGCAGCACCTGGTTTTGCTCATTTACAAGGGCTTTATTTTATGTTGAAACATCACATGCTCGCAGATGTGGTTACTATCAAAGCTTTCGGTCCAGATGCAATAATGAACTGGCGTTCTATTCGGGTAAAGACGGTAGTATGACTATACCGTCAGACCATCTGCTGCATAACAATTTCGTACACCTGCAGACGCAATCCATACTTTGCTGTGATTGGGCATGATGTCACCCACACGATTGAATCGTCGCATCTTCATATCATGAAAAGGTCGCATGGCTTGAGCATGCGAAAGCAATGACAAAACCAATAGCTGTGGTCACATATGATCAGCTATACAACAAAGCTATAGCTGCTATACACACTGTTCAACTTCTTCCCGTGGAGTCATGATGGCCGGCACGTGGCACATGACCCTAATGCAGCGACACTGCATCGTAAAACTGGAGCAATGGAGACCATGTGGAATCAAACAGGCTTCTTGCCACTCTGCCTCCAAGCAGAGCCTCCTAACTTGATTTTCCAAGCCGCCTATATACTCGAGAGTCGAGAACCACCGGCACAACATGTGCCTCGAGGCGCCGCAAGGTCTCAAAGTTTCCGATACAGTGCCAACTCTTGTCCCCCTCTTTTAAGGAAGGTCTAAGAAACAGCAGTGACCGAGGACCGAGCAAGCTTCCTAGATGAACCATGCAAATCCAAATTGTTTTTTTTTTAATCGGTCTTAAAAAAAAAAAAAAAATTGTGGTCTTAAAAAAAAAAAAAAAAAGTGGTCTTGGCGGATTCCCGCTGAGCGCCATCCATTTTGTTCCGGTCGCTTCTAGCTTCCGGCTCTTTTGGAGAATCTCAGTCGTGATTCTCAAGTTCGCTGGGGCCATGAACTAGAGGCTTAAGGACTAGTGACATCATGTGCCTCAAGTCACAGCAACAGGTCTCACAGCGTCCTGAAACTGTACTTCTCCAATATCACCTCCCAATCCCGCTGGCCCGACCCTACGATTTTTTCCGAGAGGCTCAATCATGATTCCCAAGTTGGCTGGGGCCATGTTCTAGTGGTTTAAGGACTAGTGACATCATGTGCCTCGAGCCACAGCAAAAGGTCTCACATTCTCCTGTAGCCGTATATTGCCTCCGTAGCTGTCCTTCCCCCCACCTTAAGAGTCTTGTTTCCTGCCCGATCAATGTCTCGCAGGCCCTTGGTGGTTGGTGATCCCCACCATAGCCATAGCCATTCGTTATTCAAGCATATGCAACAGCTCCCCACCATAGCCACTGCCAAGTGCTTCTCTAGCAACTGCTCCCACTCCGCTTGTTTGACATCTCCCTGCTGCTTTACGTCATTCTGGACGACGTCATTGAGTGCATCTATGACCCAGTACTTTCTTGTAGTTTCCTGCTGATAACCACCTATGAGACACCATCTGGATTCGTTATCGGAAGGCAGACACCCTCTAATGAATGCCCTGCAGTTGCTTGACGATGAATTCCTTTTGTATGGGGAAAAGGTAGCGCATAACATTATCGTACAGCCATCAGGATTTGAACTCATGGGTCTGTTCATGTTAAAAAGTTTCACACGTGTACCACTCAGCCGCACACCGTGAACACTTGTCCTCAAATTCATCTCCACCCATCAGCATTGTTTATCTGCTGCCTTCAGTTTGCTGCATTGGTTTTCCAATGCAATCCTGCTCTGGGTAAATTGAGCAGACCACAGGTGTTTCTGCCCAACTTCAGGCACACCCGTTACTTTTAGCCTTGTGGGCCGAAGGTTGGGCCCAAAGGCTTCTCTGGCTATTTCAGGCCAGAAACATAGCGCGTACTGTTGGACTTATATTCCACCAAACTGCATCAGAGCTTGTTTTTTTAATCTTTTTTTCAGGAAAGAAAGGCGACGACGTTGAGACATCATCATTCAACGGACCGGCTCAGGGGTTAATTAAACCACCACTCCAACGGCCCCTGCATTGTCCACTTTTCTTGTCTACAAGCACTGGGCCAACATCTACAGTGCCCAGGCTCGGTACAACACTTGCTTTTCCACTGGGCAGCAGACCTTTTCTCTTTTTTTGTGTTTTTTTTAATCTTTTTTTGTTTTGTTTTTTGGACCATTTCTCGATTTACGCATGTCATCCTTGCGCAGGGGCCATGCTAATCTTCTCTGTATCGTTCCAGTTATAACGGACGTCCCGAACGACCAGCACTGTAGATCTTAGGCTTGGGGAAAAGCAACTTTTGGTTTGTCAAAATAGGCCCAGATGTAGTGGTGGTTTAGTGCAGTCAGTTGGTTCCCTGAGCCATGGTAGAGAAAAGCAGCATCTGATCCATGACATTAAAGACACTCTTCTTAAACTCTTTCTTCCAAATAATTTTGAAAAGGTGTATTCTTACAGAAAAAAAGTTTTGGAAGTAATTGGTTCTTCCCTGCCTGCACCAGGTGTTTGGAGCTTGGGTACTGTTCACCCCACAGAGCAGAGATAGATAGGCGTAGACCCATAACCTTAGGAAAGTTAGGACGGCTTCGCTCTGGCTACTGAATTCAAGTTCCGTGCCTGCTATCATAGGTAGATGGTTTCTTCCTTCCGTAGTCAGTTTGGTAGTGCTTGCGGGTGAGGTATAGATACGGGTAGTTAAAGAGAGAAGAAAATAGGGTATGTAAAAGTACAACTGTCCCCCCATATGAGGAGAAGACAGCTGTATTCCAAAGAGAAAAAAAAAAAAAAAAAACAGCTTGCATTTTTCTTGAATAAAAATGCAGCTGTTCCCCATATGAGGAGGAGGCAGCTTGCATTTTTCTTGAATTAAAAAAAAAAAAAAAAACGCCTTTTGACGAACAGCCACACCTTGCGTATTTGTGAAACTGGAATGTCTTCATACGTGCTCGGATCTGCCGGCGGGAGTTTCACAGGTTTGTAAACAGGCGGTTTTGAAGATGAAGATGAAGAGGAGGTAGCAGGCTTTGGAGTCGGTTTCGGCACTTCTGGCTTAGGCTGCGTGGCCGCCTTCTTGATCTGAGCAGCAGTCACCGTTGTTTCTTTCTTTGCCGCCACTGCTGGCTTACCACCACGCCCAGCCTCCATAGCAGCAATAACATCCCCCTTGGTGACGATCCCTTGAGGGCCCGTTGGCACAACCTGTGAGAGGTTCAGGCCCAGCTCCTCAAGCATTTTCCTCACAGACGGTCCCATCTTGCTGGAAGGAGACAATGAAGAAGATGCCCCACTAGCAGACGGTGCCTTCTCTGATTTGGTCTGTTCCGTCGCTTGTGTTACGGCTCCAGCAGCTGCACCTTTTCCACTCCCAGCATAATTTGCAAACTTGGCAACATCTTCCTTGCTCTCTACCTGGATGAAAACAGAAAAGCCCATTTTTCTTCTGTAAACATCAAGACAAAATTTTCAAAAAAATTGATCACACACAGCAAGCATTGCAGATATACCCCTGTATGCCCACAGAATCACAATGGAAACTTGCAATTCCATTCACAATATGGCCAGCAGGGTCACTCATAACCCCTTACTCTCTCTCTCTCTCTCTCTCTCTCTCTCTCTCTCTCTCTCTCTCTCTCTCTCTCTCTCTCTCT